GCCCATTTCTTCCTGCAAAAACCACAACTGAGGCTCTTGCCCATGCCTTCCCCTTGCTCATTCTGTTGCCTGACCAACCTACTGCTTCCCCATGGGGTCCTGCGTGGTGTGGCCTGCTCCCTCCTCCTGGGACTGTAGGTAGCAAACTCTGTCTTTAATGGCTACCATCTCATGATGTGTTGACCACATCACACCTGAATAAAAACAAGTCCTGGGACCATTTCAAAATAGACTAAGAATCACTGAAATTCCCATATCAAAGGCTTAAGAAAACTGGAAGATCAGGATAACATGGACACGATGGATAAAAGTTCTCAAATACACGCAAAACTAACACTCCATCTCTAGGTTGACTCATGGCCACAGGTTCAATCAGCAACGTCACCGAGCAGACCAGGCAAACACCTGTAATTATCACCGTGCTTACCGGCGTGCTCTGCAACCCTACGCCATCGAACGGCTTTGTTATCTTCAGAAAAGTCCGCATGTGGGAAACAGTCTTTCAAAATGCACACACACAAAAATGATGGAGCCAAACAAAAAGTGTCCACCTTGGAAGGACTGTGCTTCATAATTAGGAGAAGTATAATAACGGAAAATTCTGGATTGCTAACATAAAGAGATGATAATTATTACAATGGATATAAAATAGGAGTCACATGCTCTAAATACAGGGATGATCAGAACATTTGCAAATTTAGACAAGGGTTTCCACTACTGTTTAACACCAGTGAACTCACAATTGGCTACACTATTAATAGCTTCTTGTTTCCATATCTCAGAGTCTTAAGACCTGTCTCTACAGTGCCATTCGTTACCTCCGTTTTCTCGGTCAAGTTACTGCACCTCACTCTCCTGAGACTATGGATCTCTAAAAGTTTGTAATTCAATTCAAACAACAGAGTGATCAGGCAACGGTGGGGAACAAAGTCAGGTTTTAGTACTTCGTATCAGTGCACCACTGTCTCTACTGCTAACCCGAGCATCTTTTTGTTTGAGGCAACTAAGAACGGCAACATACTCAAAAAAAGAGGAGGGGTAATAGGCATGTAATTGTCAGGGAGTTTCAATATGTGTAACACAAATATGTTATGATGCCAACCATCCTGCCTGTGCAATTATGACGCACAGCTCAGGCTGGGGCATCCAAAGGTACCTCAAATTAAGAAGGATTTAAAGGTGTAAAATGGGATAGTAGGTCTTGCTTGTAATGTGGTAAAGCAATTGAGCCTGAACAACACTGAAGATGGCAAGATTGTATGGGAATCAGATGTAATAAAGATTTTAAAAATTCCTATAAATGAGCTATTAAGTTACTGGCCACCAATAAGCCCTAGGGAAGTTACTGTAGTATTCATTGTTTAAGATAGAGACTACAAATAACTATTGTATGAAGGCTAATTCTAAAAGCCCTGCTACTTCCTGTTTAGGAGAAACTTGAACATTAATAATCCCTGACTGATAGATAATTTGAAGGGCAAAAGAGCATCAGAGGTAATATTCGAGCTTCTTGCTTATGAAGGGTTAGAGGAAAATTATTAAATAAGACAAGAAGAGACCACTCGGTATAGTAATTGGCAATATACTCGATGTCACAAGTAAATCAGGGGCAACATTCTAATTTAGGGTGGCAATTTAAAAAAGTGACTCTAAGTGTGGTTTATATAATTTAAAATGTCTTCCAAGCATGAATTTTATGCCTTGGTAAATTAATATTTATATGAACTTCAGAGTAGGTTGTTTCTGATTTGTTCTATGGCCCAAAGGAGTGTTACTCATATTTTTATAGACATTTTAATCCAAAAAAAGTAAATGGTAGCAAAATAGGCCACCCCCAAAAATATGCCACTTGGCATAAGGATTATTTCAAACTAAAGGCCTCTTTTTGTTCAATTTAGTAAAAAAGTACTTAGGTTTTGCCACTTGGATCTTCATTTCCTTATGAGAGCTCTTGGGTCATGTAAAACTTAAACTAAGTAACTTTCTGCTGTTAACATGTCTTCTATCAATTTAATTCTCAGGCCCAGTTAAAAACTCTAAGAGGGTAAAGATAAATATTCGTCTCTTTTCCAAATGCAAATCACTTCAATGAATACATGAAAACGAAATTATATTAGTGCCAAATGGACAAACTTTTATTTTATAAAGATTTAGCCTAGACCAGCCATTCAACTTACGTGGAAAATTCTGTAGTTGCTAATAAGCTTATAATAAGTAGTAAGCCAAATACTACTTTACCTATATACATAATAAGTGAAGAGATATCTCTTGCTCCATCTTAATTTAATATGCATTTATTTACCTCTCCTTAAAATCTCATCAGAGACTTTCATATTTTAGTGTATTTCTGTATGTGTTGGAGCAGTCTCAAAGCAAGTATGAATTAAGAGACACCAATCGTGTAACACAAAAACTGTATTAAATTATGCCTGTAATTTAAAGCCACATTCATCTGATGCAATACAGAAAGTATTCGTAAGACCTGCACACAAGAATGACTATTTTTCTTAACTCAAAGAGTTTAGCTTAAACTGCTAGGCCACACTTATGGAAAACATTTGGACAACTCCTGCCTGCCCGGCTTGCCAAAGCTGTCAATACAGAGACTGAATATAATTTCCTAACCGCCTCTCCCATCTCTAACACAACAACAGGGAAAAAGCCAGCAACGACACCACACCTTAAGTTAAATCTTATCAAGTGGCCCGCTCTACCTACTATTTTGAAATTAAGGGATATTCCCACCTGTTGAGATTTAAATATGATTCAGCTTTGTTACTACACTTATGTAATAAATATGCTTAGCCACAAGGGAACTTCTTGGAGGGGCCTCCAGTTTGTCTTCATTACATCATTGCAGATTAATTCCAATGGTATGAACTAGGACTTACTGGTAGCTCAAATACCCAGGCCAAACATAGTTAACCATGTAGCTCTTTAAACGTTACATTCAAGCCAAGTTATTTTTGTCTCTCAGTTTCCTTACATATTAAGACTCCATCTCTGAAAGGCTTTCTTTTTATTAGGTGACCCTAATAATTTCCAATCACCTTATAAATTTACCTCTCATCTTGTTCATTGTTGGGGTATAGGGGCTGAACAGTATCTAACGCCCCAGAATCCCTTTGGGAAATCTTACAGTTCTGCTTTTCTTGCTAGCAAAGCGCAAGTTTTTATTTATTTATTTATTTAGGCAAAATCTGCAAGGATATCCATCTGGATATGGACCAGAGTCCGATAAAGACTATGTCCCCTTCCTAGCTCTCTACGTCTGTTCAAGGAGAATGAAGAAAGAAGAGGGGATTCCCAGGAAGAAAACTCTTACTGATGTTTTTACTCTCTCAAGTCTCCAAATATCAGCATTTTTCCTTTAAGCTTAAAGACATAACTGTGCCATAAAAATCATTTACCTGCAGTGGGACCCGATCATTATTTAATAGCTAAATACCACATTATTTTCCATGAAGACTAATGCAAAGTCAACAAGCCTCCTAAGTCGGGGGTTAAAATCACCTTCATGGAAATCCACAGCTATACTGAAGATGCCTGGAGAACGATTATCACATGGGAAGACAACTGTGAGAACCTAGGCCTTTGTCATAAAGCAATACTACTGTTCATAAGTGTTCTATGAAATAGCAGGAAGTGTTTCGAAAGAAAGCCCTGGCTTCAAAAGATGACTTTTCAAACGGACTTTTGGTTTTCTGAAAGGAAAAAAAAAAAGCTGAGCCCAAGGCTGACTATCCATCTTCCCTGAGGTACTGATGTGCGTAAATTTATTCTCATGTCCAAGGTAGAGAAGTCTGTTTTAAATAAATTAGTATGTATGTTATAATACTTCAATATTTTCCCACATGTCATAAACTTTAGATAAAAAGAGCACTGCTTAGCTCACAGACCTGTGCCGCCTGCCCTCCCTCCCCGAGACTCCCAGCTAGGTGACCATATCTTCTGTGCACTTTAGTTTATGCAAATGTAGGATGAAGGACGGTCTCTTCAACCCTGAACATGCTCCTAGCCAAATGCTGAGCTTCTTAACACCGGTGACAACTGAACAGGACAACTTTGGGTACCACTTCCATATTTAAACTTTGCAAAAGTTAACGTTATTTTTAAGGCCCACATCCCATCCACCACACCACCTAGAGTTCAAGTTTTCACAAATTAGAGCAAGGAGAATATGTATGCCCTCAAAGAGGGTTATTATGCTCCAAAGTGACAAATGAAAGCAAATGCTGGGAAAACATATGGGGGAGGGATGGCAGGAGAGAAGAAGGAGCGTAAAGTTTCAAGAGCTTTGCCAAATCCTCACCTGGGTGGTCTGACCTGAGAATGAGAGTATGGTGTATGAAGAGCAGAGTTTCACTCACAAAGCTGGGTCTTGGATCCTAGGTGGGTGATGAAAAACGTGCCCCAAAGGAACCTGGTTTCTAGTTTGGTTGTGTCACTAATTACAAGCGTAACTTTGGGTAAGTCGTGAACTACAGCTCTCGTCTGTGCATGATAAAACTGAATGAGAGCAGCAACCCCCTTCCACTGCTCTTCCTAGTGTATTGTAAGATTGTAAATATTCATAGTTAAGCTTCAGGAAAGGCCCCTCAGTGGCTTTCCCAGGGCAGGTGAGAGAGCCCTGGAGCACAGGGCTGCTTTCCATCTCTTAAATAGTATAAAAGGCCTTCCACATACTTAGCAGCAGCATCTACCTAAACAGGGGTATTTATTTATTTTGTCCCGCTGTTAAATTCTTCAACTACTGCCCGTTCCATTGTCCTGATCCACTGGAGTCCACTCCCTTTCCATCTTCCCATGTCAGTTAGTCTCTTCTAAATGTGCATAGACAAGTTCACGCCGAGGACAGAGAAAGAAGAGAAGAGACCGAAGGGAGTCGCGTGGTCCCTGGCTCCCGACGGTTGGGGAACCCGCCGGACATCCCTTCCCGGAGGCCGTCGCCCACCCGCCGCAGGGTCCCCGCGTGTCCGCGGCTCGGGGCAGCGGCTTACCCGCGATGTCCCATAGCTGCAGGCGCACCAGCGTCCTGCTGTCCCAGTTAAGGACCTTGAGCGCGAAGTCCACCCCGATGGTGGCCCGGTAGTGCTGGGAGAAGAGCTGGTGGACATAGCGCTTGATGATGCTGGTCTTGCCCACTCCGAGTTCGCCGATGACCAGCACCTTGAAGAGGTGCTCGCGGGTCTCGGGCGCGACCGTGGCGGCCACCCCCCGTCCCAGGTCCCCGGCCCCGCCGCCCGCCATGAGCGCCCCCTGCCCCGCTCCAGCCGGCCGGCTGCTTTCGGCCGAGCTTCGGCCCCGCGCAGGGCCCCCGCCTGCCGTCGAAACTTTCCCGAGGCCGTGCCTGCGCCCGCGACACCGCCTGATCGGTCACAGGACCCGGAACCAGCAGTTGCTCACAAATCTTGAGGGGCGGGGAAAAGGCCGGGGCTGGCCTAGCGGGGGAAGTCCCGGCTAGGTGGCCGCCCCCCGCCCCCGCCCGCGCTCAGGCTCGGCGCCGGGCCAGACTCCCAGCACTTCCTTGGCTGGGGCGGCGAGGATGCCGCACGCCCCCTAGTGGCCCTGGGCCGAGTGGGAACCCGCCGAGGGCCCGGGCGAGCCCAGGAGGGTCGAGGTCAGCCTAAGCGCTGGGGTCCCTGAGCCAGCGTCTGAAAGCCCCAAATCAGAGCTTGGAGGCGCGGGTGGTCGAAGGGTGGGGCGGTGCTGGCCTGGGAATAAGTTCCTTCTCTGGCTCTATCTGTCCTGAGAAGGTTTGACACCCGAGAATCATTTCCTTAGCAAGAGAATCTATCTCCAGTGCCTATGTTTCCATGTTTTCATTATGAACTCCATTATTTCTCTTTTGCAAGTGCCTATATTTCACATTCTCATCTGTGTTATGTCAGCTTCCACTCTGCATACTTTACATCTTCAAATATTTGTAGCTATTTCTCATTTCCCATTGTCTCTGTTCTTGTTCTATTTGAACTTTTGAGGTTTTAAACTTTTAAAATTCATCTGTTGTCCTGTCTCTGGAATTTTAGGAGCAAATGCCAATCAACACCATGTGTTTAATTTGGCATGTTTAACCAGAATTCATAGTGGTACATCTAAAGCTTCAAATCAAATCATGTGTCAACCCTGTTTAAAAATCATCAGTGTATCAGGAAAAAAAAAAAACAAACAAACCTCAATTAGAAGTCTAAAGTTTGTAAGATGGCACTTAATGTTTCTCAGCGGTCCCACTATCACTCAGACTGGCTCTGCTGCGCATTACTGAAATTCCGCCTCTTTTCCTAAGATGCTATGCTTTCTTTTATCATGGGGGGTTTGCTCTGAATTCCCCTTTCTTCTCTCTGTCTAGCTCCTAAGAGTCTTCAGCTCTCAGCTTAAACATCACCGTCTCTTTCCATTGCCCCCAAGCATAGGATGGATGCCCTCTTTCCCCCTCTGCAATAGCACCCTGTGCTGTGTTCGCTAGTTTGACACTGCATTATAATGTACATTTAGAACTCTGTGTCCCACTTGGCATTATGAAGGCTAAGCAGAGACTTGGTCTTCTTCGCTATAAGAACAACATTCAGTGTTTATGTAGCTGGTACTCAATGAAAATGTGATAGGTGTATACTGAATTAGCACTCTATTCGCAGACCTGAGTTCACAGCTCAGCTTAACCGTTGGCCAACTTTATGATCTTTGAATACATAAAGGACACAGGATGTAGAAGAAGTGATAAGGTCAAATTCTGACTCTGCCATAGCTTTTATGATATTAGTTCACAACCCTCCCAATCTCCATTTTTCTCACCTTTAAATGGAGTGAAAGATATATGCTCTGTTGTCTGTACAAAGTGATGTAAGATAACATTCACAAATGTACAGTATATTTTATTAATGCATGCTAAAAATCAGTCTCACTTTAAGGAGTTCTTTAATACCTAGTACTGTGTTCCCTGCCAAGTTCTTTGCTGTGCGTGTAAAAGTGTGTTTTTGGGTGCCTTTCTGTTTAAATAATCAGCCTCTCATTTTTCTTGTGCCTGTAGTAATGTAATATGATTAAGACAAAAAGCACAAAGTGCCACTATTTTAACATGATTTTAAGTAATCATAAATGCATCAAATATTTTAAAAGGATCGAAACTTAAAGTTTGCAGTATTTTCCCATAGGTTTAATTTACTGCTATTTAACCATTATGATTCCATGTTTATTTCACATGATTTTCAATGGTTAATGTAGAACAGCTTGGCAAAATATAAATGCAATTCTAGCCTGTTTAGACAATTGTCTTTATTGTTTTTTGTCTCTATATTGTGAAGAATAATCTAATATTCATGAAATCGCAGAGCCAAATACAACCATAATCTCTCCTCAGTGAAGAAGATATTGGGTTTTACATTGTAGACATTGTGTGGTGGCCTTGTGGTCATCACTTGTAACTATTTCTTCACAGAGCTACTTGGCGCAATCTTCCAAAGAATGTGCAGTAATCAAATTTATGACTGAGTCTTATACTAAATTGTATATCCTCTTTGAATCCATCAAAAACTTTTAAAATCAATTTATCTACTTTTTTATCTGCAATATGATTTTCATGTCTAAGCTAGTCATTGCAATGTTTATTCCACGGCCTACAGATTTTAAAAGGAAATAGAAAAGCTCAGGGAAAGACTATTTAACAAATATCTCTTTTCTCTGAACCATTTGAGGACATTTTTTGGAAAAAATATGAATATTTACAAACTTGGATTCCCATGTCTTTTCAGGAATGTCGTCACAGCTTGATGGAACCTTTAATGAAATATGGCGTGGAAGGCACATAGATTATGTCATGTTTTTAAGCTCTTAATTTTATCTGCTTTGAATACACTTTGAAATGTTCATTTGGTAAAGCATGTAGCCTCTTTAGGAATAGCAACTGCTTGCCCAGTTAATGTACCCAGCACTTTCAAGTAATTTTGTGCAGATACTAGTTTATAGTCAATATAATTCATGGAAGTTTACCTTATTTGAACAATGGCTCTGTGGCAAATAATATTTTAAGCCCTGTAAGCTATTAATGCATTTAGCTGAACAGTCCTATAATATAGGTCCTATAATATAATTATCCATTTATTACAGGCAAAGGAATGGGTCCTCCCTTTCCTTCAGATAAGAGGTGGTGGGTCCCAGCCACAAACCCACATATGTGGTTCCAGAAGCCCTGCTCTGCATTCTGTTGTGCCGTAAATGAGAGCTTTCATCAGTTAGTGCCTTAAAGGGGGCAAGTAGACTCTTCTGTTTTTATTATGTAGGTGTAACAATTTGTGGATTGGATTGGAGCTGTTTGACCGCAAGAGGGCAAGCTTTGCAAATTCAAACCTGCTGAACAGTGACAGAAAAAGTCCTGGAACTCAAATTTACCAAGGAATTTCCTTGAAACCAAAAACCATGAAGTCTCAGCAGTGGGTTGTTCAGTGTATGTGGTTATGGCATTTAGAGTCAGATAAAATACCAAGGGGTTTCTAGATTTGCTATGCATTATTTAAATATGTGTTAATGTTGAAGGATTATATATCACAAAATGCCCTAGTCAAAATTTCCAGGCACTGACCCTTTGAAAAAACCATGAGACCAGAATCAATGTATTTGTCACAACTGGGCAGAGATACTCTGAAAAGCAAGATACTGAGTCAATAATTTTTTCCCTTTCTTCTGCCAATTATGCATGAAAATATTTACTGCAGAGCTGTTCTGTTCCAAGAATTGTTCAGGTTGAGTATAAGGTACTCAGTGAAACCAGCATTGTTCTCACTTTTGTTAGAGTAGAGGTTACTTAAGTTCTAAGTTGAACTTTGTTAATGAACAACCCTCACATTGCAGTGGCTTTTCCTAGAAAAGGTTGATCTTTTGCTTGTGTAAAATCTAATGAGGACCTGGATGAGTCTCTAGGCAGCTGTCACCCATGTGATGCTCTGGAATCTCCTAGACTGCTTGCATTCTGCCCTGTCACCAGCTCAATGGCTGGGCTGCTTCTGTAAACACTAAACCAGGAATGGCAAGAAGAACTGGACAGTCTTGCACCAGCCATTAAATGCTTTGGGCCTGAGGCAACACATGCAACTTCTATTTAAAAGGCGTTGGTTAAAGCTAGACATGGAATCTGGTCTATATTTGGGAGCTAGGAAAGAAGAAGCCTATTGTGTGCCTTACAGGAGAGTACACCAGAAGTTTCTCCCACTTTTAGATTACTGTTTCTAGAAGACTGAACAGAGAGTAAGCAAAGGCACTACAATTATGAAAGTAAGTTCATTAATATGATGGCCCCCATTTATGTAAAAATAAGTTAACACTCAGACAATTGTCTACTGGCAAATATATTAAGGTAAGTGATTTACCTCTCATATGCCTTCAAGTCTGAACTAGTGTCACAGGTGGGCACAGGTAACCAGGTTCTTGGTGATCGCGGACAAAAAATTGAACTGAACACACAGAGTTTATAGCAGAAAGCGAGGAAAAGCAGATTTATTAAGCCACACAGAACATGGGAACAGGCCAACTCTGAGCAGAGTGGAGCAGAGAAGAAAGGAGAAGAGCCTAACAGCAGCAGCAGCAAGCAGCAGGGGCAGCTGGAGCAGGGCAAAAAAAAAAAAAGGGAGAAACTCAAGGGCTAGAGGACTTTTATTCCTTAGGGTGGGCCTTCCTTTCCTTGATCGGCTACTGGGAAGAAAGTCCCACAATGTAATTCATTATAATGAAGCAGGGGTCAGGTAGCATCTTCTGCGCAGGGGCAGTCCTGATTCACTAGGATTCAATGCTTCTCCAGATGCAGAAACTACCAGAGGTAGGACAGGGCCTCCGCCCTTTATCCATGTTCTTTATTTCCTGGGGCACCTCTGGAGTTTCCTCCTTCCTGACTATCTCCTGCCTCACTAGGATTTCTCAGCTGGCACCAGTGATAATTTGAGTTGGATAACTGTCATAGGACGCTTTTCAGTGCATTGTATGATATTTAGCAGCATTCTTGGTCCCTACCCACTCTGCGTCGGTAACTAAGATGCCTCCTTCACCCTGATGTGACAATCAAATATACCTCTAGATATTCCAAATGTCCTCAGAGGGCAAAATGGCCTTAGGTTGATTTTGAGAACCACTGGTTAGAACTGTCCCCTATATCATTTTCAACACCCAACCTTAGTGTTAACGCAGAAGCATATATGTAAATATAGACTTCATAATATATAAAACACTTTACATGGCCTTATCTCAATAACTTAATTAAGGAAAAG